ATCACTGGTCGCCATTTTGGAGGGGATACACATATCACTAGTGATATGTGTGCGGGGATACACATATCACGGGGATACACATATCACTGTGACACCGGCTGTATTGATTTTTCGCATACTTTCAACAAAAAGCAGAAAGCTGTTGAGAAAATGAGATATTTCAAACCATCAATTATTAAAGAAACAACAAAAGAAAAAAATACAGAAAACATAGACGTGTTATTTATTGAAAAAATGTCACTTATAGTCTATAGAAACTTTGGTCTTAGACCAGGTGAGAGTCCTTTTAAATTGCATGTTTGTCAGTGTAAGTCAGGGTATTAGAAATTTTCATTAAAGTTAATGTTAGTGTCGATCCCACAGACCCATGTCCAACATTTATTCGTCAGGAATTCATTACGAGTGAGTTAAATTAAGGCCACGTCCAAGGAATTGCGAAATGAAACTGTTCATGACATCTCGACTCAATTCAACTTGTTAATGTAATCAGAGTGTATTCTGCAAACAGTTACCAAAAGAAGCAAATTGGCAGTAGCGTCACTTCTGTGTCCACGGTAATTACATTTCAGCTTCAAATTTCAATAACCCTGGAAACCGTAAGTTGTTAATTACAATTTAGTAATCAATATACAGCATGTCAAGAGGAATTAACAAACTCCAAGGCCAGGTAGTTTTATTTCATTGCTTGTGTTGACGACATGGATACTCGACCACTGCGATATATGCTAAATACTTGTCAATAGGAACATGCTTCATAGAGTACTTTAATAGAACGTGCGTCAGAACAGATTACATAAAACGAGTTCAAAATAACATCCTGCTTCGTTTATTTAATCAAGCAACGCCTATATGTTTTCTCAGTATCAATAATCTCCAAACAATCTTGAACATCTAAGAGATGAAATGGATAAGACCATTTATACTAAACGGGCACATGTCAGTTTCCGCTAATTTGCATTGAAGGGGCTCTCTTTAAAGCTGGGTTCTTCTTTCTGGTGAATCGAAAGTTTGGCTTCGTGTTCGATCGCGATATAGCTGATACTCGATGGTTCGGTGGTCTCATAAGTAAAGATCCGAGTTTTGTTAATAAAACTGGCATCTTTGATAAAAATCGGCCAAATACACTTGATCCTGCTTCAAAAAATTGGAAATGTACCGAAATCTATTTACTGTTTCACGCTAATGTACAGCATTTAAATATCAATAAACTGTGTAGATAGGGGAGTAAGAAATATTTCGTTCTTTTAATTCAATCGTAGCTTATTAACAGTATAAACTTGTGTACATTCGTTGTTCACAAAATATTATTCTCAATAGCGCTCTCTTCATTTAAATTTAGAGTGCGGTGACAAAATCTCGCTTTTAGGGACTACATAACGAATCTTTCACTTTTAATTAGTTTCCGCTGGAAATAAGCTTATTTATTTCTATCTTAATTTCCTTCTTGAAAAACGCATAGATGACCAAAGGATTCCCTCAGGTGTTCAGAACCAGAAGTAAAATGATGATTTGGACAGCTTCATTGTTATCAATCTACATGGTCCTAAGGCAAGTTGCAATTTGCTTCGGCTGAACATAGGCACGCAAGGCGTGTAGGTTTGTTTTGGACGCTGGTTGTAAAATGACTTTGCGAGACTTTTGGATACACTCTTTCTTTTTAATAACAATATGATTTATAAGAACATCAAGGCTGAAATTTGCCAAATTTTGGGAATATTTTAAGATTAAACCCGAGGCTGAGATTTTACAATTTGAAAATTTCCTTTCTTGAATGGCAAAACTAGGCGAAAAGCAACAAAAACAGCAGTAGCCTATGTTCGATGTCAATAACATTTCTGCAAGAAGGTATGAACTTGATATCAGGATTAAATGCTTGCAGGCTGGCTCCAAAATTACATTAACGCCATCCAGACACCAAATACAAATGCTATGATCTAAAAATATTTATAAGAAAAATAAGAATATTAATTCTTGGCCAATAACCATTATTCTTACATAAAAAAAAAAGAGTGTATTGGGTTTTCTGGAATGGGCAAGTGTTAATGCCTGTTTCTGTGTTGTGGAGTCCACAAATAGTAATTCTGTAGTTAGTCAGCAATATTATACTAAAAGTTTGTTAGGTAACAATCGATCTACAGCAAAACATTTACTAAGTATATGTTTTAAACTAAGCGCAGAATCCTAGACAGTAATGATTAAGGTAATCCAAAAAGTCTTATTTAATCGTTGTTATATGTCTGATGAAATTACTTCATTGTGACTGATGAGAGCAGGCAAATTTATCGTTAATTTTTACTTTCCACTGCGCTACAAATGAAGAAAATGAATTCAAATCTTAACCGGCTGTATTGATTTTGCCATCTGCCGCAAAAAAATTGCAGTAGGATACGGAGAAAGTGAGATGATGTTTTGAACCACAACTGTCAGATCAAAATTAAACATAAAATAAAAACATAGAGCTGACTTTCATTGAAAAGATATCTCTTTTTCAATTTTTGTTTTCAGTTTATTTTAGAGTATTTTAACTTTTCATTCAGTTGATATTGTTATAGTTTCCAGAGACGCGTGTCGTCAACAATTTTTTTGGTCTAGATTATATTTTATTTACGAGTGAGTTGAATTAATGTCACGTCCAC